CGCCCCCACCCCCCGTCTGGCAAATCATGGCGCCACCCCTGTTCAAATTAATATTTGAACAACTTTTATTCTTGACAATTAAATTGGATATCGCTCTGTAGGCCTACTTTGTGTGTTACTTTGTATAAACTGATTATGTGATTTATTATTTTTTCCCTAGGCCTACATAAGAATTATGTAGTTATTATGACTCGTAATCATTTTTTTTTTCTTGTGTAGGCTTCTCTTTCATATAGGATTCAAATTCATACCGTAACCATCACCCTGATGGATCTTGCAAGGCTTTGGAGTCTTTAACAATATACAACTTTGTTTTTTAATTACATTTAATGTCATCATAAATGTATTGTATTTGCATTGCAAATTTAGTTTAAGTTATGTTGTAACTCTAATTCTGACTTAATTTTAGGTCACCAGAAATAAAATTGTGAAGAATCTATGTCCGCATTGTATGACCACGTGCCAAAACCCCTATTAAGGGCACAATTTCACGTTTTCGGAAGTGTCCCCTAACAGGGGTACCCCTATTCAGGGATACCCTTAAGGGGACACTTTTTTTAGTCCCAAAGATGTACCTTTATCAGGGGTTCTACTGTATTTAGTAGACCTAAACAAATTTTTGATTAATATTAAAATGTACTGAGGAATATTACCAAGCATCAACAGAAATTGTAAGATTATATTCTTTACAGCCCCTGTTGTCTTTTGATGGGATTGCCGCTATGAAGATTGATTAGTTCACTGTTTGGCATATCTTTAGTCCTAGTGCCTAAAGCTGAATAAACAAATTCTTTATCAATATCTTTTTTTTATTATCGACTCTGAAATAAACTTTTAAAATGCATATGATTTCCTTATGTTGGTTGTGTTCTGCAGAGTGGGCGGAGCCATACACCGATCATTTTACGTGATAATTTCTTCTATGGATGGCTAGGTGTGTAATCAGTATCTCTTTTTTCATTGGACGACGATCATTGCTTTTGACGAATCAAATATCTTGTTGATTTACACTACTAAGCAATATAAATCTCGAAAATCAAGAATTGAAAGCAGACGGTAAGCACCGAGAAGACGATTATAGTAGGCTTTATTGTCAGGATAATAGTCATGGATAGTAGTGTCGAATCCCGTGTGCTAGTACTCTATACCGGCGGTACAATTGGAATGACCAGGAACAGTGACGGAGGTAAGCTGCCTAGCATTCTGTCGTATATTAGTTAATTTTCGATGGGGCGCCATGGCAACAAATCTGTTATATTTAACGTATATATATTCTTTTTCAAAATGTTGGGTATAATTTATCCACACTGATTTTAGTATCTCCTGGCCTTATTACTGATAATATAAGTTGAATATCTTTAAGCGTTGGTTTCATTCCTTCAAGCATAGGGTGAATACACTTAGAAACAGGAACACAATACAAGATAGAAAAGCACATTAAAAGAAAACAAGCCAATGAAACCCGACTGAATTGCTCAAAGGCATAATCAAAAAGTAGAATTTACAAAAAAATAATAAAATGTATTACATATTTACTGTATATTACTGACTTGTGAGAAGGAAATAGACGTTTTCACAACTTTCTTTATGCTATTTAACATTATATAAACTTCCCTTTACAGATTTAGTGCCGGTTGAAAATTACTTCAGTCAAGCAGTGAGAAGGAACACAATTTTAAATGATGCGGACTATGAGGCTAAGACGCAAAAAACATATGCTCTTCCGTATGTTACCATTTTTTGCATCCAATATAGTGCTAAACATTTAAAGTAGGCCTCCTTATGCTCTTATATGTTTGGTTTGTTTAAAAACTTCCGTCGATGATTTATTTATATATTAAATATTAAAAATGAGGGAAGTTTATTATATATATATATATATAT